CCCTTGGCAGAAGCAATGGCACGTTCCGAGACACGCCCGGGTTTGGCAGAATGAGGCAACAAAGGACAGCCACGCAACTTGTCGCAGCCCTTCCTTGGCTGTGCGGCGACCAGAAACGCAGACGGGACCGGGAGCAGCTCTGCTTCATCCGCAGTGGCACTTGGGCGATCAATTAACTAGCGTTCCACCGCGGGCGACATTTTTTCTTTATTTTCCTTATTTTCTTACTTGAGTATTCAATTAGTCAATTATTTAAAAAAAAAAAAAATTTTTGCTTTTTCCTCTTCTTTTTTTTTCGTTTCATGTCTTCCCAAAGCAAATGGCTGAAAACCCTGAACCATTCGGCCCATACGGGTGAGTGGAGATGAGCTGCACATGGCACCCAAGCATACGCCCCAACCAACGCCAACAATACCCTACAGGTAAGGATACCTACCTAGGTAGGTACCCGTATCTAGCAAAGTTGCAGCGTGTCTCCCCCAACAAATTACAGTGGCCTCTTCGCCTGTAATCCTGCGGTGCAAACCCCCGTGTCCAGGGCCTCCCTCCCCCCGTAGCCCCTGCAAAATCCGGTGGTGAGACCTCGAGAATTGGCCCGCTAGCTTGTTTTTTTTAAGCGCATTTTTGGAAGCTGTTGTCGCACTTTGTTCCAACGGTTTGCGGCTTTGACTGGTTCACCGATTCGGGGCGCTGTTCGCAGCGGCGCCCGTTGGGCTGAGACATGATTCGCAGCCTGCTTACTACTTACTACTACTACTGCTATTAATATTGTCATTATTTACTCGCTCACTCTTGGCCCATGTTTTTATAATTGCCATTATAATTTTGATATTGGCTCGATTTTCATTTGTGTGATCCTGTCCTGGACTTAATCCGTAATTGATTTGTCGCCTTTTATTTTACCAGTAGCCTCTCTTCTGCCTGGGTACACTAGCCAGTCTCAGTCACAAACAAGCAGGTGTGCCTGTAACAGTCCATATTAACACACAGCCCATCACTTGTTTATCACGGTGTAATGTAGCATCTTCTCTCGGGGTTGACTCCCTATTTGATCCAAAGCTTCTACTTGGTCGATCTCAAAATCTCCGACTCTGCCTCCATATTGCAACCAAGACAGCTGGGTTGTGCGCACATCACGCCGCTCCCCCCCCCCTCCAATGCACTTTGTTCTCGCAAGGTCCGAGACCGAGAGGTTCTCTCCTGGTGCCTATTTCTGCACCATTAGGCAATTTTCTCCAACATGAAACACGACACATTCGCCTTCTTGTTTGTGAATCCAGCCTTCTCTCTGACAGTAACTTAGACAGACAAGAAATGCCCCTTCTCGGCACAATGTACAACCGATCGCTCAATCAATCCAACGCGTCCAACATCATATCAGCTTCTTATATGGGGCCCACTGCTTGCCTGCCAGCTTTTACCTTGTAATAAAACGCATCTGCTCTTTTTCATTCATTTCATGCTTGGATCCGCTCATCCGAAGAGACTATATATGTTCCTGGCGCTATATGTCATGCTCCACGTGTGCTGAAGAAGACAGTTATACGAACTTGGTTCGAGAAATTCGGCCCAAATACCCATCTGGTCAGCCATGTTTGATCAGGAGCGTCTCTGTGTCACCCGTAACTGTTCTCTCACAATACTAAAGTCACGATAAGAAAGCTGTTGGAAAAAAACAAGCTTTCCCTCGCAGCTCTTCTCAACCCGATTTGTCTCGAGCCCACTGATGTTCTTTGCCGCATACAATCCTGGCACTTGGCACACAAATTGCTCCAGCATCCATAGTTCCTCTTCATAATATGACTTGTAACATTGATCAACTCACCACGGCTGCCAAGCCTGCTGTAAAACTCGAGACGCAAAGGCCAACTCATGCACACCACCACTGCGGCGCGCCTGTTGGGGTCGGCTTCCAATTCACTCCCAGAAACTTTGGCTCCTCCTTTATTTACCTGAACTTTGTTAGATTCACCTGAAAATTGATTAATACTCTACTAAACTCCTGCATTTAATTTCCGGGGGGCGTCAAAATCATCTCCAATTTATCTGCGTGCTTTCCGCGTTCTCAGGTGGACATCCACCTGCCCTCCTGCATCCATTGCATCGTCGGTAAGCACTCAACCTTGCTCGCCTCAGATCATGAGCTGCTAGCCCCATATCACCGTGGATTGCGGCTTCTGAAAAAGCGGTACATGGGGGGAGCCAGACCATGCCTCACCAAGACTTCTTTGAAATCGGCCCGGCGCGATCTTGCAGCCGGGCTCGTGGCATAAATTACTTGCGCTGACAATCACAGGACTTCTCAGACGAGCCACACACGCCCTACCCACAACAAGTCTTGGACGGCAGGGGAAAGAGTACGTATATGCGCACCCTCTTTCTTGTCTCGCGCACCTATCGTGGCCAAGGCTGCTTGATGTGCTGGCTTTTCGTCTTCCTTGCATTGGGGCCATAAATACCACGCGTAACCTCTTCCAATGCCGGAGTGGGAACGGCCAGTTGTATGACCAATTTCATGTAAGGAGGTTCGGGTATTGCGGAGGTCCATGTGTCTTCTCTCTATCCCATTTAGGATTCTTGGCCGCGCGAGTTTATCCACTGTCTGCCAAGTTTGATGATGATCTGATGCAGAACAGTAGACGGCGTTACCCCATGCAAGCTCGCCGAGCAGCTAGTTACCTTGAAGCTATCTGTAGTCGTCAGACTAGTCAAGTTCAATACGCGCAGTTTGACGTATAGAGCATTTACGGGGTGTTGGGTATGACTCGACCAGGTATCCCGAACGACGAGAGCCATTCTGCCAACAAAGGTGGTAAAAAAACTAGTCTTCGGTGAGAAACCGAAGACTAGTGCAAAGACTACGACACGTCAAAACAATACATCACTTATATTACACATGATCTCGTCACTTTCTTCCCACTGCCGCGGAAACAAGTTGAAGGCTTCAGTACGCTACTTTACTATCAACAGAAAACCCGCCCAGACGTACTCACACCAGGCACGAGAGCGGCCTGTATTTAGTGCAAGAGACTTGTTGCGGTATATTGTAGAGCCGGCTGCCTAGAAGCCTTTGCCACGTTACGTACACGGTACACCCCAGTCTCGCGGCACACGAACTGTTGCCCCGGGCCAACCATGGCACGTACTGGTACAGCAGGCGTCTTCATTGCCATGCACTGCAACAACAACATGCAACGCATTTGGACTATCAGAGCGTCTATGTCGGTAGTCTCTCACTACTCTATAGATCATCACTTTATGTAGCAGCAAGGAGGTTCAGCACTACGCCATCTAGGTCAAAAGTCCTGCACAGAGGGATTCTAGGCTGGGGATGTGGTAATATATCATGATACTCTCACGCCTATTCACTGGGCTTGTCATAGATTGAGGGGCGCTCGACACCTCGCTACCGTGCCCCCCCTTGCAGGACGAGCCAACTAGTCATCATGTCGCAGAGGATGAGGACACAAGCACAGCCCAAGCAGGGCCAAGCCCGTGACCTTGCATGCAGAAGAGTCGAGAACAAATGAAGGTGTGCGCCTCTGTTCCTTTTGTCTCCGCTGATCTGTTCAGGTCAAGCAAGACTCGTCCGATGTGAAATATCGCAGTCTGCAGCTACAGGCGGGGAGGGGGGGGAGCTCGTCCAGTGTTGATTACCGTCTTCCGCCTCGAGGCACTCCATCCGTCATCAAGAACTAATTGCTGTCAAAGCGCTGGAACAAAGAAAAAGGAAAGCACGTCGCAGGTCAACAACGCCCCATTTGCAAAGGTCCTCTGTATTCAGAGCCACGAGAGCCACAGCGGAAGCCAAGACTGGGGAGCTCTTCCAATACAGGCAGGCGGCAAGGCTCTTGCTGGTCCATTGGCCGCAAGGTGCTGAATAATAAATAATATGCACTCGATGGTATATTGGGCCTATTTGGGGGTGTATTATTCGCGAAAATTATGCGCGACGGGGGAGGGGTGCGGCTTTTGACTTTGCGCATCCTAGTTCAATACATATGTCGCGGCTTATCATATCGTGCTGTTTCTGTTATAGGCGGCGGTCGCCGATGATTTTCGTCGTTCGAGGCAACTAAGCGATGCCCGTCAGAGTCCCCTGTGGACGGTGCTGATGCCGTCTTGCTTGTCCCTGCTTTGCTGTTGAAAAGAGCAGCGCATGAACGGCCATCAACATTCCAACACCGAGTTCAGGGAAATGTGAAACTACGCTGTTCATCTCATCTGGGCGTGTGTAATAGATTGGAATCTCCCGAGACTTCCGGAGAATCAGTATTTGTGTAATACGTGCAAAGACTCCGATTCCGGTGTCTGCAGTGTTGAGTGCTCTGCTGGCAGTTTCAAAAGACGGCCAGAATAACAACAGACTCGAGCTAGTTACTCGGCAAGGCTGGACCGACGCCGTGGTGCTGGTGGAGAGGTGTCAACATTGTGTGCGCCATCTTGCCCAATTTCGCCGACAACAATGCACGCCAAGATGAAACACTCTCCGAAAGGCTCCTTGTGTGCGGAAGCCGGCAATTGCCACCTGCTTGGTGTGACGGGCGCGATGCAACACCTTTTGGTCTGCGACGCTGTCCAGTAGGCGACGAGAGCCGCAGCCAGACGTCCCGAGAGATCTGAAACAGTAATCTTGGGGGATGCTGAGGCAGTCTATTTGAAATCTCACGCTGTGATACATGAAAGATGATGCGCAGTGGGTAGGGCGAAGTGTGTGGTAAGCAACCCTCTGCAACTTTGAGACTGAAGCGATTGCTTAGTCAATTATGTGGCTAGTGATGTGGCTGGGCTTGAGAGTCAGGTGGCTGGTGATTGGTACGTACCTGCCTACTTGGCCTCGCCTCCGCGTGCTGGACTTGTGTCTTGGCTGCCTCTTTAGGACTAGTGCCCTAGTACCCAACGGCGTCATCCAAGCTTAGCAAGCACAAGCGGCACATCATCAATCGTGGTTCGAGGACATGTCGCGGAGGAGATTCTCTGCCCAGGGCATGGATTGAGTCGCTCAGCCCTGTGACACATGTTCCGCTTAAACGCGCCTCTGAAGACGTTTACTGTCACTAGGTATACCGCTGAACCCTCACGCGCCGCAGGCGTCAAACGGCTGTCCCAATGAATCAGGCTGGGTCTCCTACAAAGCCCTGCCACAACTGCAGGCGGCAGCGGCTAAGATGCGACCGCTCGTACCCACACTGCAACAAGTGTATAAACGCCGGAAAGGAATGCCTCGGATACGGAAAACTGTTTCGCTGGACCGGCGCAGTGGCTAGTCGGGGCAAGCTCGCAGGCCGCACGTCAAGTGCGCCCGTGCCTGCTGGCAGCACTGTGATGACGGCGTCGTCGGTATCATTCGCGTCACCTGTTGACTCACCGAAACAGGCCGACTACACGCCAGACATTTCTTCACCAGAAACTCAGAGTTCTCCATCAACGCCGCCGCCTGATGCCTCTCCCGAGCAGATGCAGCTTGTCAGCTCACGGACAATCTCACTCGAGTCTGAGCTAAAGACGCCCTACATCCTCATTGACCCTCTATATCAGGACCTCGGCGAGTCTCATCGCTATTACTTATCATACTGTATGTAACCACTTGTTCCATCATTGAAAGCACATCAAGGGTTATTACTGACAAAACCAACAGTCACGAATCGTGTGTGCAAGGACTTGGTCTCACATGATGTACCCTCAGAAAACCCATTTCGCAGCCTACTACCTCTCACAAAAGCACATCCTCTACTGCAATACATTATTGTTGCAGCGTCTGCCGCTCACATGTCTAACCTCATGAAGGCGCCTTTGCCTACAATGAAAGAGAATCGCATGATTGCTTCCAGTCGACACGATGCATCCCAACAAGCCTTGCAACATGCATTGGTGGCAAAGCACAAAGCGCTACTTCTTATGCGCGATGCTGTTGAAAATATTGACGTGATAGGTGGCGACGTTGCTCTGGCTGCGGCCCTTTTCTTTGTCAATGTTGAGCTCATAGAATCTGGAAAGCATGGCTGGAAAGCTCATTTAGAAGGCGCCGGCAGAATCATGTCCCTTCTTGAGCCGTCAGCGTCGACGGATAATACCTTGAGAAATTATATGCTATCTGACTGCTTCATGTAAGTCTTTATGTACCTATCGCGCAATCGCACCGCTAACAGATTTGCAGCTACTTCATATTGGGCTCGGCTTTCATGCCCATGAAATTCCAGACACAAAGTTTTGAAGCGTCGCGGATCCCTGCGATTCTCGACCGCGCTGCTGCCAATAGCTACTTGTGCTGTCCACCAGCCATCCTGCAAATTCTCCACGGAGCTTCTCAACTTTCCAATCTGCAAGACCAAGACGAGGCGGCATTGCCTGCCGAGATTGAAGCTGTCGGGCTAGCGTTGTTGCAGCAAGCTCGAAGCTTTGACATTGTCGCTTGGGCAAACGATGCCAGGATAGTATCGTACCTTCACGGCATTCCAATTGAAAGTCGCATCCACGCCGGCTCTGCACACCGTCTCGCGGCTTGCCTTTACATTCTGCAGGCTGTGCCAGCGGTAGGTGCCGCTCTTGGGCCCGAATTTTCCCAATCTCTCAGTCGAGAGCTATACGAACATCTCGCGAGTATTCCGGACCACGACCCCAACTTCAAGGCGACAACGTGGCCAACATTTATTGTCGGCGCGGAGGAAACAGATGACGAGCAACGCCAGTGGGTCATGGACAGACTGCAGCGCCTTGTGGTCAACTGCCCATGGGGCTTTCTCTACACAGCAATGGAGACTTTGCCAGTCATCTGGGGGTTAGACAAGGAAACGGATTCTCGTAGCTGGCTCCAGGCGCTGAAGGATCCAGACATGAATTTCCTGCTTGTGTGAGGTGCAAGGCCAGTTGATCGAAGTGAATCACCGGTACTTCCTTCATAGTGCCTCCAGCACGACTCATAGTGCGATTGGGCATCTCATGCTTTGCAACGCATTGCACATCTAGTGATGATGATGCGAGGTCTTCAATGCGTACTGTCATGTGCCTCTTCAAGTCACACTCTTGACTGAGCGTCCGTGAGAGCAATTGTGAGGACGGTATTGGATTGGTCGATCTGGCTTTGCTGCTGGAGCCTCCTGGGCCAAAACACAGAGGCGTGGCCGATGGTCTGGGCCTGCTTGAGCTCATCTCAATCCCTTTTGAAGGGATTTGTGCCGCATCCAGCTATTACGGCTCGCTGCGACGGGCAATTTGAGAACGAGTACTTCTCTCATCCTGCGCTTTGCAAGTACTTTACAAAAGAATCCACAGCCGAATGCATCATGAAACTATTTTCGGGGTTTCGGTTCAATCTTAGAGTCTGTCGCAAAGCCAATTCTGCGTCCCTTCTAGCGCTCACCAATCTCTTTGCCACCTGGAGTCGCCAAACTCGATTTCTATAACTTTAGCATCCGTTACGAAACTGCCAAAATCGACGTAGCCGAACTTGAGCGGGCAAAGCCCAAGTGGCCTCATTTGCTGAAGAATAATAGAAAGGATAGAACTGACAAAGGCCTACGTCGCATCTAGGTCTTTTTTGATAAATCAGATTCATCCTCTATATGGAGCTCATGGGATGCGCGTTTTCAACGGGCAACTGATCGTCACATGACTTATACTTTGGGTCGCTGCACCTTTAGCAAGGAGGTGGCTGCAGGTTGACTTTTACGAAGCCGAGCAAAGTATACAAGTTTGCTCGAGGCAATTTGGCCGGGCGGTCGTGTAGAGCGTGTCTGACCCCGTGTTGATACAAGGACCCTAGCCCAAACATACCCGAAAGCTAGAAGTCATCAATCCATTAATGGTAATTATTGATGTGAGTTCTATCAAACTTGTGTGAAATTTGTTGCTCTATGTACTGTATGCTTGGATGTTACCCCGTGAGGTGTTGCTTTCTATCCCACATCGCGCGCATCTATTTTAGCAGTCTATGCTTTTCTTGGCCCAACAACACCCTCCCTGCCAAGCCACATTGTAATGTTACCTTTGTTCCTTGGCAGTCTTGTACTTCTATACCACACTAATACCCGGAGCAGTCTGGGTCCTTGGCGCCGTGCGACGAAAGTAGGCACGCTTCATCCACTTCCAAGTCTCGGTGCCCGTCATCCACACACCAACCGAGATGAAGACGACTGCCCACTCCCACGTGATGCCGGTGTGCAGAAACACGACATGATTCAAGCCCGGAATATAAATGGTTGGGAAAACAATGGCAAACACGACCGTTACCGAAAAGAATAAAAACTTGTTGCTCCAGAGGTGGCCGGCCCAGGCGCCCAGGCCCTTGGGCATGTAAAACATGGAGCGGCGAAAGTCAATGAGCTCCCAGGAAAAGAGCAAAAAGATCCAAGTCATGGTGGCGTAGCAGGTGGCGCGTGCGCGAAACACCTCGTCGCAGGCGGTCGAGTAGCGGTTGTTGCAGTCGACGCCGAGGTTGCCATTGTCGAAGCCAAAGATGACGACGGTGAAGGAGCCGAGAACGCAGCCTGCCATGAGGATGCCGTAGACCACCATGTCGAGAATGAATTCGGGAGTAAAGACGCCGTATTTGAGCTAGATCGGTTAGCAACCATGTTTCTTCTCTTCAAAAACTTTTTTTAATTTTTTTTTTACAAGTGACAAATACTCACATTATGAGGAGGACGTTTCAGAATATCCGGGACTGCCTTTTCAAAGCCCAGTCCCGTCTCCGAGAATGCGCCCGTGCCGAGCAGCATCCAGAGGATCTCGACCGGCGACAGCAAAAACACAGACACGCCTTGGTGGTCCTTGAAGGAGAGGCCAATGAGCAGCGAAATGACAAAGCCAATGTTGGCCGCCAAAACATGGAGAATGAATTTCTGGATATTGTCAAAGATGCGGCGGCCCTCCTCAATGGCGTTGAGAATCGAGGCAAAGTTGTCGTCTGTGAGCACAATGTCGGACGACTCCTTGGCAACGTCGGAGCCGGTGCCCATGGCGATGCCAATGTCGGCGCGCTTCAGGCTGGGGCTGTCGTTGACGCCGTCGCCCGTCATGGCGACGTACCTGCCGCGGCGGTGCAGCGCCTCAATCATGCGGACTTTGGTGCTGGGCGCGCAGCGGGCCACGACGAGCGGCAGCTGCGGCAGCTCGTCGATTTGCGCGTCGGACAGCGCGTCGAAGCGCTGCGCCGTCGTCATCAGCGATGATAACTCCGTGGCCTCCTCCTCCTCCGCGGCTTCGGATGCTGGCAATATGCCTACATCCCGGGCAATGGCGCGCGCCGTCTGCGGGTGGTCGCCCGTGAGCATGTGCACGGCGATGCCGGCCTCGTGAAAGGCGCGCACGCTGGGGGCGGATTCGGGCCGCGGCGGGTCGTAGATGCCGACGAGGCCGCGGAACACGAGGCCGTGCTCAAAGGCATCGCGCGAGGGGCTAGTCGCGGTCGCGCCAGCGGCAAAGTCGGAGGCGGAGATTTCGGTCGTCGTCGTCGTCTCGTTGACCTTGTGAGCCAGAGCGAGGACGCGGAGACCCTGGCTGGCGAGCGCGTCCATGTTGGCCAGAATGTTGTCCTTGATCTCTGCTGTCAAATCACGAATCTCTTCCTGAAATGCAATCTTGGTGCAGATATCCAGTACGCGCTCGACGGCGCCCTTGGTAAAGACATGAGTCTGCTGAGATTCCGTGTCGCGACACAAGACTGACATCTTCTTGACGTCCGAGTCGAATGGAAACTCGGCCACGTGGTTCCATTTGGCAGAGGGGCCTTGAGAAAGCACGATGCGGTTCCAGCCGAACCGCGACGCAAACACTTCGATTGCAATCTCGGTAGGGGCTCCGCGAGCCTTCCACTCTCCAGAATCCTTTTCCTCGCTGTCGTCGCCTTGCTCCAGAGTGGCAAGGTTTGCTAGCGACGCAATGTTGAGGTACCATTGGAGAGCAGGCGTTGCACCGACATGCTCCGTCGGGGTGATGGACTGTAAAGGCTCGGATTTCATGTTGTCCGTCTGGTCCATGTTTTTGGGTTCTGTGGTGGCAAAGGACACATCGCCCACAGTTGGATTGTACACGTCGTTGGTGGTCTCGACCGAGTATGTGCCAGTGCCTGGAAGCCAGGCCTTGCGGACAACCATGCGGCCCTGGGTGATGGTGCCGGTCTTGTCAGAGCAGACATCTGTATCAATGTGTGTAAGCGACTTGACTATTCAGGGGACAGGTTCCAAGGTCGCAAAAACTTACTAGTAACTCCACCAAGAGCCTCGAGACTTTGTAGGTTTCGTACAATGACGTGGCGTTGAAGCATCTTTTTGGTTCCGGCAGCCATTGTCACGGTGAGGACCAGGAGGAGCGAGACCGGAATGGTGCCAATGGCCGTGGTGACGGCATACAGGATGACGTCGGTCTGGGTGTTGAACTTGTTTGCCCCAAGAACAATAATGGCGCAGATAATGGCAAAGCCCAAGAGTCCAAGAAAGAGCTGCGCGAGCTTTTTCTGGAGAGGCGTGCCGACAGTCAGACCAAAGAATTCGCCGAGGGCGGCTCCAACGGCAGATTTCCGGGCTCTCTTGAACCAGGAATCTGTAGCTCCGGTGGTGTCTTGGACAGCCGCCTTTTTGCCGTCGCTCTGAAGAGCTCTTGCAATGAGACCAATTTCTGTAGACATTCCGGTAGCAAAAACGACTCCGCGCCCGCGACCTTTGGTCACTGTAGTCGAGCTAAAGACGACATTGAGGCGGTCGCCGGGTCCCGTGTCCTCGTCGAACACGAGAGCGGGCATCTTCAACACGGGGGCTGCTTCGCCGGTCAAGAGGGCCTCGTCGGCCTCGAGATTGACTGCTTCAAACAGCCGGATATCCGCAGGCACAGAGTCGCCCGTGTTGAGATGGACAATATCACCGGGCACCACCTCGGCGGTCTGAATGGTGACGGTGGCACCATCTCGAAAGACGTTGCAGGTAGGGCTGCCAAGCGTTCGCAACGAGTCAATGGTGCGTTCGGCCTGCAGTGTCTGAAAGTAGCCAATGAATATGTTGAGGACGATAATGCCACCGAGGATACCGCCTTCTACCCAGGCCCGGATGCCGAAACTGGCGGCGAGTGCAAGAAGCAGCACCTGAAGCAAAAAAAAAAAAAAAATAAACATGTTAGCCCATATCGTCAAGTAAGACATTACGCTTCCAGTCATTTACCAAGGTCATTGCATTGAATATTTGCTCAATGAATATTTTGATTGGCTGCACACCCTTTTTCTGCTCGAGCTCGTTGCGGCCGACGCTGGCGAGCCGTTGCTCAGCCTCGTCAGACGACAAGCCGGAAGAGGGATCTGCGCGAAGCTCTTTCAACGTTTCCTCGCTGCTCATACTATGTGCTGGGCGAGACATGGGGGTGGTGCTGGACTGCTGCTGTCCAGAGACGTGCACCGCTGCGGGTGGCGTTTCCGACGCTGTCCAAGTGCTGCTGGACATTTTTTTTTTTTTTTTTTTTGCCTTCTTCTTTTCTTTTTCCTATGTGAATGAGTCGAAAATTGTAACAAGGGTATGAAACAAATCCATGAGCGACAGGAAAAAAAAATGGTACAAAAATGATGGATGTAAAGAGTCTACAAAGAGAGTAGGTCGAATTTTTGGATTTTGATTTGTTGACGAGTATAAAAAAGGAATAAAGAGCCAGAACTAGCAAGTCACGGAAACAAATATATATATAATAAAAGAAAAAATTCTCGAGAAAAAAAAATTGCCAAGATTCAAAAACAAACTCGGAAGCGGCTGGCCGGACGCCGCGGGACAAATTCTTCAATCAGTGTACAAGAAAGCGGCCAAGCGGCGTACATGAGATTTAGAAGCCTAATTAGGCAATAGTTGTTCGGTTTGGGGTGGGTCCCAGATTGACCCGTTTGTGCTAATTGCAGCATCTCCCCCGCCTTGTACAATCTACATCTCCGGAGAGCTGCTTCCGTAATCGGGCTAAACAGGGCGCCCCTCGTCCTCGGCGAGTAAAGAAAAGCATGTGCGGCCGGCCTTTCTGACTGTCCTGACAGTCTTGACAGCAGCATGTCCTTTGACGGCGAAGGGGTTGCAGCCACTGCAAGGGAAACCCTACCAACGAAGCCTACCAAACGAACGCGGTCACGCCTGCTGGGCAGTGTGAAGCCTTGAGCCGACGGAAATACTTGCTCTGGTAATCCGTACGCACATTCAAGACCTCCCATCCGTCATCATTACACCCGAGCGGGCACAAGACGCAAATTAAGCGGCTGTAGCGGTGCGGCAGGATGAGGCGTCGAAGGTCTAGTTGTCGTCGTCGTCCCGGCTTTGTGTCGTACGCTAAACCCATCTAGGAAGCCAAGTAGCATCTTGATCCGGCCCTTTAGCCTCGCCCAGCGTGTTGCCTCCTCCATGACCTTTTCTGTCTTGTCTGACGACTTGTCTGACCGTTCCCGCACCTTCTTTTTCCCATCGCGCCTTGGCTTCTCTTGGTTGCTCGCATTTTGTGACTCATATTGTGGCTCAGCACCATGCGCTGGCTGTAAAACGCTTTGCGGCGTGTAGAAGGAGTCTAGGTCATCCATGGTGGATTCGTACAGTTCCCGAATCCTCTCTGGCCCCTCACAAGCATCGTAGTCGTAAAAGACAATCGATTTGAGAGACGAAAACTCGGTACCGAAATCCTCCCAAGTCCGCGTGCGGACTGTCGTGCCGTATAGGTCGATCCTGGTTTCCGTTCTACATGTGCACACAATGTGAACAAGGCAAAATTCATGAGGCAACTCTTGAAACCGTCGAGGGTTCAAAAACGTCCAAGGCCCGATATCCGCAGCAACAAATCGCATGTGGCAGCAACTTCGGCTCAAGCCGTAAATCAGGTTTGGTGCCGGTCCTCTGTCATACTCGCAGATGTGCTCCCTAAAGACCAGGAACCGCCCCTCGACTATGCGAGGGACCACTCGAAAGGTGACTCTCGCGTAATCGAGGCTGTCCACCTGGCCCGAATGTGGCTGCATCAGTAGTCGTTGGTGCTGCTCATACGGTCCATGTAGGCTACTCTCCAGTCTTGCATACTTTAAAGCAAGAAGTATGTGGTCTCGCTGGTAGGTAATCAAGGTCTGCATATCGTACCTTCTGACGCCCCGCGTCGGGCAACATGGCTGAGGATACGCGCCTGCAGAGGGAACAGAGTCTGCAGAATGTTGATGGAAACGGAGGCAATAGTTGCACACCCAGACATCGAGTCTCTCTTTTCCGATACAGTTGAGAAAGCGGATAGCCATTTTGCGGTTGGACCAATATCGCAACTCGGTCCGTAATCGATAACCATGGTAAATGATATTTCGTAGCGGGCTGCATGTCAGATAGAGAACTGCCTTGCTGTCTTGCTGCAGATAATCGATGATACTGAGGACGATTTCGTGAGGCAGGTTGAGAAAGTGGCAGACGCTGCTGCTCATTGAGATGGACTGGCAAATTTCGTATACATTCGGCTGCGTACAGCCCGTACTGAGCAGCGCTGTTGTCGAGTTCATGATGTGCGAGCAGAATCGATGAGTGTTGCAGGAGCCAAAAAAGAATTTGCTTGATCCGATATTGTTGCCATGACAAATCGTAGGGCTTTTCTCAAGGTCTATGATGTCGCGTCAAGGTTTCGCGGCGCAACTTATTCAAGGCCTATCGACGCCACTTCTAGTCAAACACCAGCCAAATCCTTAGCCACTTGAAGTTGTCTGCTACTTTGCCTTGATGATGGCCAGAGCTTTCAGGCATCAGACTGCTCGAGTAGCAACAAAGTCTCGCGCCGTTCTAGTAACGACAAGTAGACATCTAATGATCCAGCTTAGCATCACAATTCTTCCACTGACGACGGGAGGGAAAACAAGGGTAGGTAAATCTCAAAAAAAAAAAAAAAAA